AACTCCATATAGACTAGTAATACCCCCTCACTCCATCAGCCAGGCGCTGTTGTGTCATACAGCAAGTCTTTTCTGGGCTCCTCAGAAGGACTCAGAACACAGCTGTGTTATTTTGTCAGGGATGTTCAGCCATCTCCAACCAGGACAGTTGCATGAAACAAATGAGCAGGCACAGACCTGCTGAATGGTTGAGACATGGCCCCTGTCACAAGTCCTGATTTACTGGGAGCACAGGCCTAGCCATGAGGTAGAAGAGGTCAGTTGACTGGGTGGGCAGAGATAGTCAGGGGAGGGCAGGAATATCTAGAAGTTTCTTCCCTCTAGAGAAAAGGTAGGTGCACTAGGAGGCACTGAGGAAAAGGAAGCTGTCTGAACTAATGCTTGGTAACTGTTTCTGCCCTTACCCCCACCCTTGTCCCTAAGGAACAAGAATAGCTATTCATTTTTTCCTTTCTTTTCCCATTTCCTTCAGGGACTTGAAACAGATGGGAGTGTCACTTCCAGGCCACCAGAAGAGGATCTTGTGCAGCATCCAAGGCTTTAAGGAGTGATCAGTCGTTGCATTCTTAAGCTTGAAAAATGCCCATCCTTACCAGATATCACTTGGAATCATTCCTATGGCAATTGCTTCCAAATGAGTGACTGGACAAGCAAAGCAAAACAGCCAGAACTGAAAAAGCTCGTGAGGCAACACCACCTGCTCTCATTTCTGTTCCCCCTTGCTTTAGCTCTACAGCAGCCATCAGTATGTTTCAGAGCACTGGTCTTAGAAAATATTCTGTTTTCTGCAGTCCACTTTGTGCAGGACTAAGTGGGCCCTGTAGTCCTCATACTGGAGTTTCAGACCCTCAGTACATCACATGGAATACAAAGTGGGTGGAGGGTGGTGGATAATGTTTTAAATTGGAGATGAGGGCTCAAGATAGACTGGGACATTCAGGGAGCAGGCACAAGAATACAGACAGGTAGAAACAGGGCTCATGCACTCCTTGGCATACATTCCTTCTCACTTCAGCACCTTTCTGTCTTTCTTATTTTGCATCAGGAACAAACTATTCAGTCTTCACAAGGCTGCTGGTAAGGCATATATTTTTTTAATGCAGTTGTTCTTGCCTGAACACCATCCTGTGGTGTACTTTTTTCTTTGGAGGAGAAACTGGGAGTAGAAGCACACCCCGCAGTAACTTGTGTGATCACATCACCTCAGCATGTTGCTGTTTTGCACACGCACACTTCAGTGGGGACATTTACATCTCTCCAATCTGCTTAATACCTTTTCTTATGCCGTGGACAGAAAACCCTATACATTTCCATTTTTCTCTGCCCCTTTTTGAAAGAGACACTAGTCTTGTTTGGCTGGAATAGGGTATTTGTAACAGAAAAATGTGTAGGTGGTCTGTCTTACTCCTTCTCTGTGGAGGAAATGTTATTATTTATCAGATCTCAAGACAGTTATAGTCTGTAAATAATATTTTGTAAATAAACCTGTGGCAGAGCAGGGTGTGTTGGAATTCTTTGGCTTATTTCAAATGTGATTGAGACCTTTAGCATACATATCATGAGTCCCAGCAGGGTCCTTACATACATGTTTAGTTGTTTGAGCCAATGGTCTTTGTCCATTTAACTGCAGATGTAACATGGAAGTGCAATTGCATTAGGATTAAAGGATACCTTTGCAGCTGATCACTTCAGATTTGTTTTTCAACCCATTTGCAGGCATATCTTTCTGAGTCCATTGTTTTACAGATCCTGTGATTATTCCTAAATCATAAATATTAGCAACTACTGCTGTGCTTGATGAAATACATGTGAGTAGTACTTCTTTCTCCTGCAGATTAGACTGTCCAGGAGAAAATCTCAGGAACATCAGTGAGAATTTTTCTTTCTCCCACTCGGGAAGAGTAGCTACCTCAAGATTTCTTTTTCAAGTCTAGGTTGGTGAAGGTGAGTGCTACACATTCAGCAATGTGACTTGCTAGAGATAACAGTGTTTCCATAACTGTATAGTGCTCTAAATTCTTAAGGCTATAAATTAACAGTGCTGCTTCTGGGAAGGCCTTGCTTAACCATAGGTGACAGGAGGGCTAGGAAGCAGAGATCCAAAGAACTGCAACCTGATGCAAGAAAGCTGGTTTCCATTCAACACAGACCATGGCTACTCAAGTCACTGTAACTATAGCAAGAGAGAGAGCTGAAAAGCAAAGCTCTGAGTTTTTAGTAGTTTTTAGTATTAGTTTTTACTCAGCTCTAGTTTTTAGTATCAGTCTTAGCAATAGATGTCTTTAACATCAAGTACAGGTAGTCAGTAAAGTTGCTACCTGGCAGATACCCAGGCTAGCAGATAAGCCCTGATGAGGCTGACACAAGATTATGAGCTTGTGTCACGCACATGTAAACTTTGGCTTGTCACTGCAGGTGATAGGGAAGTGGGAGTGGTTGATCCATCAGGTACCTGTGCTGCCACACAGAGGCACCTTAACAGAGGGGAGAAATGAGAAGAGAGGAAGAGAGGAGATTCAGGAAGTTGAACCAAGGGAAAGGCAGAGCCTCACGACTGGGGAGAAATAGTCACGGGCGCCAGTACAAGCTGGGGACTGGAAGGCAACTTTGGAAGAAAGGACTCGCTGGTTATTGTGAACAGCAAGTTGCACCTGAGCCCTTTAGCAAAAAAAGACAACAGCACCTGGGCTGCATTTCAACTAATGCATCACCAGTAACTGGAAGGAGGCAATTATTCCTCTTCATTTAAGCATTGGTCAGACACCTGAAGTGATGTGTCCAATTTTGGGGTTCCCAGTACAAAAAAGGATATAAACTTAATGGAGCTAGTCCAGTGAAAAGCTACTGTGGTTTTGAAGGGATTAGAGCATCTGACAAACAGGGAGAGGCTGAGAGAGCTGGAAGCTGTTCAGCCTCAAAAGAAGAATGTTTGGGTGCTTTTATCATTGTGTATAAATACCTGATGGGAGTAAAAAAGGAGCCAGACACTCCTGAGTGGTATCCAGCAAAAGAAGCAGCTGTGAGAACACACCAAAATGCAGTACATTCTGTTTGAAGGTGAGAAAAACTTACTGTGAGAGTTGTTAACACTGGAACAGATTATCCAGATCTCGTCCTTTAAGGTATTAAAAAGCAACCTGCTGTGGTTGACCCTGCTCTAGGCAGGGAGGTCCCTTCCAACTTCAAGTGTTAGAAGCTGCTGAATCAGCTGGCCTGGTAGTGAAAAGGCTGTTCAGTTCCATGTCCTCAGGGTACAGCCAGTAGCAAGCCTGAGCATGTATTCCCAATAGGCAGTCATGCACAGAAAATCCCCAAGTCTATAATGGGTGCACGTCTATAAACACACACACCGTGCATGACTGGCCGGAGGCAGAGAACATAGCAGACATGCAAGCACAGCACAGCCTAATCCTCTTCCCAGCTCTGGCTGATCAGGATGAACCTGTTAGAGGGAAACACATACAAGTACACAATGGATCCCTCTAGTGCCCAAGACCAACCATCCTGCAGCTGGATCCAAGCCCTGGAGCCTGAGCTGCTCTCCTCAGTTGCTAGCACCAGGATAAGCAAATCCTCAAGGCCTGCAGCCCATGCAGACATGCACACACACACACACCGAGCCCTCCAGGAGTTAGCCTTAGGCATTGGCTCTACCCAGCAGCTGGCTCCAGGACTCCCTGGTCTCCCAGTGTCCTCACACTCAGGTGCAAATTCTCTTTCAGCTGGTCTCCAGACCCACGAGTGGCTCCCAAGAGCTTGAGCAGCTCACTCCCACACGTCTTCACAGCATTTAGCCAGACCCACAGCCATACCACGTCCTGGCTCTCAAATCTCTTACCTTACACACTAGCTACTCTGACTTGGCTGGCAGCAACACAAGGACATACACACCCACACAGGATACATGCACTCAGGTCTGTCCAGTTGTTGGCATTCAGATCCACTTGCACTGAACAGATCCCATACAGAGTACAACAAAAATGCTACTATGAAGGCAGGACAGATTGCACTGATGACACACAGGGCATGGCCAGACAAGTGTACTGTGTACGTGCAGCCACCTCCCCCTGTGCCTTCTTCCTGTCAGTTTTTCCCCATGGCACTTCCCATCCTTGATCACTCCTGTTTCCTGCCTTTGATCTCCCCCCTACACAACCCATGCCCCTCAGAGGGGAAACTTCCCTTTAACCCACAAGGTAATCCCATCCTATTGACTCCACTGGATAGGTCTCCTACCCGGACACCAAGGCTATGGTGCTCTGATAGTTCTGGGAGGAGCAGAATTACTGCTTCTCTATCCCAGCACTGTTCTTCCCTGCACTCCTTGGTGTTTGTGGGCACAAACTTTTGATAACATGGTCTAGAAACAGCCTCTCACAGAAATGCCTACAAACTAGCAACAACTACAGTAAGAAAAATAAATGGATGATTTATTCTCTACTCATTCTACAGAAAACATCAAGACATTTACTGGATCAATTTACAAGGAGTCATTAAAGATCTTCCCCAAACTGGCAAGAGATCAAGAGTAGGTTTCAGGTCTCTGAAGTGTAGAAACATTGGTGCTTACCACAAAGAGAAGTTTCATCTGCAGGGACCATCACAATACCATGCTTAGAACCATAAACCACAAACACTTTCTGAGGGGCAATAGTTAGGGACAAAGCAAACAAAGTGCACTTTTATTACAATCCACTTCCATCTCACTGGAATACCCATCTCTGAGTGATATGTAAAGCAGACTACAATATTGCTGTACTGAACTGCAGTCTTGCACTGTTTTAAACAAGAGCTACTCTTCAGGTACAGAAAATAGAAGTCTGGAAAGGAGACCAAGAGGTGGAGAGAGAAAGGCCACGTTCAGACTCCTGCTCTCTGGGAGGCTGGGTGGAATAGCCTTATATACATTTGGCAATGTATAAAAAAGCTGTGCAATGGCAGTTCTACTGCCAAAGACAGCAAACTCCCATGGGTGGCTGAACAAACACAGCAGACACAGGTTAATGGAAAAAACCCACACATTTTATTGAACGCAAACAGTGGTTGGACAGTGCTGTTATTCAAAATGTTTGTTCAGTTTGAGACAGTTTCTAGTTCAGGAAATGGGGCTCGGTGCAGTAACGCTCAGAGCCAGACAGTACATTGCAATTACAAATTACACTGCGGCTTTCACTGACAGCAGTGAAAGAAACCCTACTGGAACAGAAGACATTCCTCAGTCTGCTGAATCCTCATCCACGCACTGAGACGCCTCCTCACCATGTGCTGCCCGTCCTTCTGACGGCCTCTATTTGTAAACATGCATTCTTTGGACTGCTTTGCTACTCTGGTTCCCAGCCTGGCTGTCCAGAAACCACACTGGGAAACAATTCATTTTGGGAAGGGGAAGAAGATTTTTTTTTTTAAAAAGCTTCCAAACTCAGAAACAGAGTAGTATTTCAAACACTGCCAGTTTAATCTGGCTAAGGGAAAAAAAGACAAGACAGTTACCCAGTAAAATCCATTAGAGACAAAAAAGCTATAGCAGGTTAGCTTTTTCCAGCAACAGTAACAGATTCCCACTACTTTATGCCTCCACACTCTAACCCAGGTGAGGGAGCAGGCAGAGGAAGACATCCTGATAATGAGGTGTCACAAGATATAAAATGAAAGACAGAAGTGGTGCCAAGATGCAGGCTTCCACCTTCTCAAGTCAAATCATCGTTCTTGGCTCCATGGAACTGAAGAATGCTCTCAGCCCTTCCCAGCACCTGCCACCAGGCCCTTCTTGCTTCTTCCACCAGGAGGTGGTGGAGGGCTGATCTTTCTCCTCCAGAGTCTTGAGGGAACAGCGATTGTGCACTCACCTTGATGACAGCCCCCAGCCTGGGATACGCTGTGGCCAGGAAGCGGTGGCAGAAGAGGTCCTTTCTTGGTGGGTGTGCAGAGTGAAGTCTAGGAGCAGTGAATCCTACATGAGTGAAAAACTGTGCTGGTACAGTCTCCATTGGTAGCAGTCTGCCTTGTCAGGCAGAGGGGTAGGACAATTGCAGGGAGGGGAGGAGTACTGAGTGCGGGGGTCTCGAGGGAATGCCCCCTCCGAGCTCCTCAGCGCGCTGTTTTGGCACGGACGGTGTGACACTTGATACACAGCACGTGCCCATCCAGAGGAAAGCACCCATTCTCGTCTGCCTCAATGGACAAGGGCTTCCCACAGTCCTAAACAGGTAAAGAAGAGGAAGCTCAGTGACAGCCAAGAACAGGGTGAAGGCATTCAAGGACATAAGAAATGCCCCCACAGGGTCAGGATCGCTCGCAGCCCACTGCTCTGTCCCTGGTGGTGCTAATGGAAGATGCTGTTTTGAGGGGAGAGCAATCCCAGCAGGTTCCCCCCCGATAAAACAGCTGATGTATTGGGGTGTTAGGGAATGCAACAACCCTGCACAGTCCCTGTATTCATTCCTGTGAATGTCTAATCTTTTTCTGAACATGCTTCAAAAACATTCCAGATTCCTTCAAAACAACTTCAGTGTTGGGTCAGCCTAGACAACAAAGGTGTCCAGTTGCTGGTGATGGGCACAGGAAACATGGGAGGAATGGGGCCACCAGGCTTACCTCACACTTGTAACATTTCATGTGGAAATTTTTCTCCAGTGCAACAACACGCACTGTCTCATCCTTTCCAGGCTCTGGCATGATAGGTTCACTACAGACTGAGCAGCGTGGAGCATACTTCCTGCAACACAGAACCATGGAGGAGACCATGACCACCATGGTGACATTCAAGGGAGGATTCTCAGTGCAGTTCAGCGGCATTAGCAGCAGAGGAATAATAAATGTTTAGGTGGAAAGACATCTTCATACTTTGCTGACTCATTTTTAACTTCATGTCTGACAGATGACATGGGCAACCCACCCCCACGCTGCAGCAAAGAGAAGCAGGTGTGAGGGAATCTGCCCTCTCTCATACACAACATGCACATGCTCTCTCCATACCTGTGGTAGTCATCCACACAGTGAGGCTGGTTGGACTGGTCCACAATGAAAGAGGTCCCCTCCAGGGGGGTATGGCACATCACGCAGGTAAAGCACTGGGGATGGTATGAGTTTCCAGTGGCCTTCAGCATCCGGTCTGTGATGGTCTGCTTGCAGACACTGCACTTCTCCAAGGTGCTCTGAGCCCAAAGAAAACAAGTAAGACACATGAATCCAATCTGCCACCCCTGTGAGGCGACACCACAGAAAGCAAAGATGGAAGGAGGAAGGGAAAGCAAGACAGAACAACCATAGTGAGCTCAGTTCCCTCCAGCAGCTTTCACCCCAGTGACTCACAGCATAGCAGTCCTCGCAGAAGGGCTTCTCATCCACATTGTAGAACTGCTGCCCCTGCAGCTGCTTCTCACACTTGAAGCAGGTGAAGCATTCCACGTGGAAGAGGCGGTCCAGGGCCCTCACAGCTGGCTGGGTTCGTGACAGGGGCTTCCGGCAGAAGCCACAGAGCTCTGTCAATGGAAGAGGAAAGGGATCAGGAGAGATGAAAACCCATCACAGTCTTGATCCTACTGCTGTCCATTCAAAGCACACACCAGAAGTTGCAGCCTCTGCTGGGGGTGGATGCTCCATATCCTTCATTAGTCTCTGGGTCAACTTCTCCAGCTCTTCTACCTCCTTCATTGTCAGACAGGAATTCCCCCTAGGTGGGTCTGCACTGGAACCTGTGGGTCTATGCTGCAGGAAGAGGAAACATTAAATCCCAAAAGACAGACTCCCTCCCACCTTGTCCCTAATTAACCTATTTCCCCAGCCTGTACAGGTCCTCCCTGTTCATCTCTAGGAACAATCTGCCATCCAATGTGCTTGATTCTTCCCACCTTCACATGTCCTACCCCTCTGCACTACAACCTCCATAGTTACATCTCTCCTTCAGAGGGGTAACAGCCTCCCACAGCCTGGGCAGATCCACCCTCATCCTCCCAGTTTCACTCCCAGTGTGCCTGCCCAAAGACACCAGTCCCAGGGCTCTTTCCCTCACCGTGTCTCTTGCAGCAGCAGGCTGTTCTGTTGGGCGTGGCTTCTCCTGCACTTGGGGTTTTTCCCTCTGCTGGGCATAGGTGAAATTGGGGGGCTGTGGTCGAGAGGAGGGGCCTGAAGGTGAAGGGGCTGTGAACTGAGTCTGAAGGGAGGTAGGGTATCTTGTAGAATTTGAGGGAGCCATTGGAACATTGTCACCTGATTTGGACACAGACTTAGGAGAGCCAGCAACAGAAGATGGGGTGAATTTAGGGGCAGGCTGAGCAGAAGGGAGAGAAGAGGGTGGAGGGACTGGTGCCTGGGGCTCCTTGCGTTGCTGTGGGGCTGCCCATGGGGTTGGGGTGGGGTTCAAATCCACCCCAGGGGGCTTGAAAGGTGAGCTTCCACTTGGCTTTGGCGTGAATTTGGAAGGAAAGGAAGGAGGAGCATCTTTGGGTGCAGATGGTATTTCCACAGGGGCTTTTGGGGCCAATGGTTTCTCCAGAGAACCTGTGGATCCCGGAGTTATCTGTAAAGAGAAGCAGCAGAGAGAAAACAGGCAGGTATCAGCAAGGTGGAAGAGAAAATATGCCATCTATAGCAGTGAATCAGCCAGCAGCTATCCCAGGCCCAGAACGTGAGGGGTTTCCACACTGACATGTTTAGCAATACTGACAAGTTGCAAGATCCACATTTTCCAGTCCTTCACCAACACCTCCATGCTATGGTTTATCCACATATTTTAATCTTCAGTAGCATCTTTCTCACTACCTCTGCTCAGCAAACCAGGCACCTCCTCTTCTACCTGCAACACTCTGGACAGCTCACCCGGGATTTGAAGGGGTCATTCTTCTCCATGTCATCCAACATTACAGACAGTGATTCAATCTCAAGATCAACGCTGCTCATCTTGCCACGTACCTACACAGCCATCCGTGAGGAAAAAGGGAGCAGAGCATGTTACAGGACCAGCCACAGAAATGGGTGTATTATTTCTTTCCAATAGCATATTTTGATACTTTGGACTTTGGTACAGATCTGCTCCTTGCTTTGAATGGATAAAAAGCTGGCGAGGACGAAGAGGACACAGTCTCAAAGGTCTACCAACAGTGGGAAAATGCACAGCCCAAGGAAGCTCTCAGATTTAGGTGGGAAAAGACATCCGGACATCTGTAGCCCAACACTCTGCTCACAGCAAGGCTAATTCCAAAGCAACACCAGGCTGCTCAAGGCCTCACACAGATGATTTCACAGCACTGTCAATGATGCAGGTTCCCCAGTCTTTCTAGCACATGTGCCAGCAATGAGCCACCCTTGGAGTGGAACACTGTTTTCTTCTGTCCAAGGGGAACTTCCCTTGCCACTTCTGTCCATTGTCCCTTGTTGTGCTTGAGTAAGAAGAATCTGTCTTCTCTCCAGCCCTCCTTTAGGTATTGCAGACTCCAGCCAGACCTCTGCCTTGGCAGCCTCTTCTGCTCCAACCCCAAAGGCTGCTGTGACCTTTCACTGGATTGCATCTCAATCAGTATTCCAGAGGGGTTAATACACGGAAGAGCCCGACCGGATGCAGTCCTCCAAGATGCAGCCCCACCAGCACAGAAGGGAGGAGTATTCACCATCCTTGTCCTTCTCTCCCAGGTGCAGCCCAGCGTGTGGCTGGCCTTCACTGCCACAAGGGAGCATTGCTGGCTTGCATTCAACTCTCTGTCCACAGGGAACCCCAGGTCCTTCCCCTCAGAGCTGTGGCCCAGCCAGCTGACCCTAACCTGTGCTGATCCAGTGGCTGGTAGCATTTCCTGCTTTCCCAGGTTCTCAGGGCTTCCTGCTGCTGAGCTCAGACAGTAGCGAGAAGCTGTCTCACCTCACAGAGCATCACACACACACACCACACTTCCTTGGACCTCACTCACCTGTGGGGCAGGAACCTTGCTCAGAGGTCCTTCATCAAACATTGGTGGAGGAGGAGGAGGTGGAGAAGGAGGAGAAGGAAAAGCTTCATCTGGGGCTGGTGGAAAAGGCTCTTCAAAGGGTGGTGGGGGTGGTGGAAATGCACAGTTTGAGGAGAAGCTTGCATCCTCTCCAGGTGGAGGAGGAGGTGGCAGTGGCAGGTCTGTGAGGAAGAATGAGAATAAAAGCGACTTCAGATCATCTTACTCCTAGACAGGAGGGTTCCTGAAGGTATTGCAGCAAGCAGGACCATAGAATCACAGAATGGCTTGGGATGGAAGAGACCTTAAAGAATATCTAGTTCTGGCCTGACTCCTATGAGCAAGGACACCACTCACTAGATCAGGATGCTCACCCATTCAGTGTGAGCTTGAACACTTCCAGAAATGGAGCATCCACCTCTCTGGGCAACCTGCTCCAGTGCCTCACCACCCTCTGAGTAAAGAATTTCTTCCTGACATCTAATCTAAACCAGCCCTCTTTCAGTTTAAAACTCCTGTCGTTTTACTATCTGTGCACATAAAATCTTCATCTCCCCTCACCTGTCCCTAAGATAGTAGAAGGACACAATATGTTCTCCCCAGAGCTTTCTCTTCTGTAGGCTGACAAACCTCAGCTCTCTCAGGCTACCTTCCTAAAAGAGGCGCTCCCATCCTTGGATCAGCTTTGTGGTCTCCTCTGTATTCTCTCCAACAAGTCCACGTCTTTCTTGGGCTGAGGACCCCAGGGCCAGAAGCAGCATTCCAGGTGGGGTCTCACAAGAGTGGAGCAGAGAGGCAGAATCCCTCTCCCATCTGCTGGTCACACCCTTTTCGATGCAGCTCAGGACTCCATCAGCCTTCTGGGCAGGGAGTGCACATTGGTTCCCCTGTACCAATGGGATCATGGCACCCATCAAGGACAGCTGAACTCCACTGGCTGTTTTTCACCTTGTCCAAAGGTAAAAATGATTTTCATAATCATTTAATCTGTCCTCAGTAGCTGCTGTTACTAGTCACTGGGCAGAGTTGTTGTATATTTGGGAAACATATCTTGCTATGCTCTTTGTCTCATTCCTTCCTCATTTGTCTCATTTGCTCCTTGTCTCGCTCCTTGGTCCTCAGCACACCCTTCTCTTGCCAGTAACTGGCTCAGGTTACTGAACACAGGGTAGCAAACATGGAATGCCAGTGGACAACCCAGGACACCCTTACTTTGTTTTCACACAAAAATAAGCTGGCATCTCCCAGCAGCATAGTAAGCACTACAAGAAACAAGTGGGGGGAAAAAAAGCAAGCTGGGCCAACTACGCCTTATGTGTATGAACAATCTTTGAAATTCCTTTGTTTTTCTGGGGGGTAAAACCAGCTTTGATTTTTGAAGCTAGTATGTCTTCACACTCAACAAACATTATGACACGAGAAATTTTCCAAAACCCTTTTAAGCAGGCTGAAAGGCACCAGAGCACCTCAGTTTTCTAAAAAAGCCCACTGCTTCTACCTATTCCTATTTGCCAAAGATGCGTAACAGGCAAAACCAACCATTTTCTACTACAACACGGACAAATAAACATGAATCCTCTTCCCTTCACCATGTAGGGAAGAAAGCATCCTCTTATCAACCACACAGCAAAGAACATTGAAGATGAGGAGGTGGAACTTCCACATGCCTTCTTCCAGACACCCACCTCTCTTCCCAGCTAGCCCCAATGAGCAGTAGGGTGAAAGACCAAACTTTTCACTGCAGCTACTCCAAGTGCAGCTTTTACCAGCAGTAACCAAATAGTCTCATCTTTATATCCAGCTGTTGTCAACAGGCTTTATAAGGACTTCTCATCTGTAACCTAAGGGAGACGATACTGCGCTTTTAGAAAACGAAAGGCAAAATCTTATTAGCCTGTGGAATGCATAAACTGCCCTGGTATGCAACACCTCCTCCAAGCAAGCCTTCTTGTGCTGCAGAAATTCTGCTGGGGGAGGGAGTAATACTATGTTGGGTTTTTTTCTTTGAAATTACAGTTTGGGATCAAGCTTGTACGTGCTTGCCTTTTGGTTTATCGAAACCATAAGAAACAAAACCCTGATCTGCTGTCACATTGTTCCAGATGCACTAAAAGCCTGTTTTATGAATTATTCACAGGATAAGAAAGTTCCCCATGAAGTTGTTACACCAGATTTACAGAGTAATCAATACTAAATATTCCTACAGCAATACTAACTCAGCCATCCTATCATTTAAGACAGTCCAACTGCTACAGCTCTGTATCATACTACATTTGTTTGGGGAATGTGTAAGAAAGGCACAGAAGGACTGAAGATATGCACCAGAGAAGGACCAAATCAGATGCATTTCTCTCATGACTGAGTTTTGGTGGCTCATCTGTACTTCAGCTGTCTTGCTGGCAGTCCTTACCGAATGATGACACAGCAGGTTATGACAAATGGTTCTTCTGCTACATTTTCTGTCCAGTTACTCCATAATGCCCACTTTAACAACAGGAGAAGCAGAGCAAGTAACACCTAACACTCCACTCATACTGTATATTGAAAAGTAAATTTTAACATCCATCCATCTACTTCAGGCAGTATTTGTGTCAGTTTGAGACCTTCTGACAGACACATCCCTAATCCAGACAACTACAGCAGAAAATGATAAGTCCTAAAACGGGACCTTGGTTTCCACAGACAGAAAATTCCAGCCAAGAACATACAAGAAATACACCTTGCTGTTACAATTTTAGGAGGCAGAAGCATCAGCATGTCCTTGTGACTTCAGAAATGGGAAAAATGGCTTAATCACTCTTCTCCTGCAAGCACAGGACCAGTCTTCCTACCATCAGGTCAGCTGCCCACCAACTTAGCACACTAACCTGGAAAATATCAGTGTTGCAAGTCCCTGCTAAACAGTGAAAGAAAAGAAATTTAAACCAGCAGCTAGCATTCTCTGAACATGTGTATCCTGACTGAGGCACACCCTTTACTTGACAGAGCCTTGGGGAAATAGACAGTATCAAGCATTAGCAAACAGTCCCTACAGAAATTTCTAGTGGCCCCATGTTGATCAAACGTTCAAACTACAGAGTAACACCACCAGCCTCTAAACTGCATCTAAAAGGACACAAAACCAACCAAGCAACAAAACAAGGAACAAAAAAACCCCACTGTACCACTGCAGGAAACAAAAAAAGGCCACACAAAAAAAGAAAGAAAGAAGTAAGAAAACCACAGTGAAACAAGAAGTCCCTCTACACAGGAAAACCCAACCCAAACCACTAGGAAAAAGTACCAACTGTACAAGCCATACAAACTAAACTCTGAGTCTCGCTTCCTGTTTATCATCCCTGCCACTATTTTTTCACGCAATTATTTCTCCCTCTCTTTTCCAGCATCCAAGGTGACAATTGCAGAGTCCACAAGAAGGACAGTCAGAGATAACCAACTTATTGGTTAAGTTAAGAGCTGGGACCAATCAACAACAAGGAGAACAGAGTGATTCATCACTATCAGGGTCAACTTCTCTGCAACATACTTGCTCTCAGACACGCTGGCCAAAAACTGACTGCAATTACACAACTGTGCACCCAGGGAATACTGTGAAAAATCCACTGCATCCCTCCTCCAGCACCAGTGCAGTGCAGGACAGCCTGCCCCCTCCTTTCCTAATGGAGACACTATGTACTTTGAGACCTCTTTCCAATCCATTTGTCTCCTTATGGAACCTCCTAGCCTCCACAGCAAGAATATCCATCCCTTACAGCAGTTATGGCCTCTGTTCTCATATTCAGCCCAGCCCTACAAACCTCCCACCCTGAGAAGTCAGAAATGCATATACACATCTGCCATGCCAGCCTTGACCTACCTTCTGCCAGCATGGACACGGGTGGCAATGGAATCTCCCCCACCTTCCCTATCTGAGCACGCTGGGCACCAGGACCAGGAGGTGGAGGCGGCGACGACTCTGATGCACCTCCAGCCTTGAAGGGGTTCACCTTGGGCTTAGGGGCAACCACAGGTGCAAACTTCTTCTGTGGGTTGTAGAAGGAAGGCGTAGAAATGTTGATGCTGACTGTGGACGTCATGCGGGTCCCTGGGGCACCTGGGGAGGCCATCTTCTCTGCACCTGGCAGGAGAAAAGAGGGAGGAAACCTACATGAAATCATCCTTGGGCCAGAGTGGAAATTAATCGAGAAGAGTACGTGAAACAAAGGGATAGAGGAATTTAACTCAGGCCAGAGGCTGAGGTGCCTGAGCAGCGCACTTACAAGACCAGCACAGGAAAAAGGAAGAACAGAAACTGCAGACAGCTCGAATGAGCCATCACACTTCACCATTTCAACTCAGGATGGCATTAACCACAAATGGGTTCTTGCAACAGAGAAAACCCAGATTTCCACTGCACTGCAGCCCTGCACCTGTGGTGACCCGAAGGAGGGTGATCCCCCGCACCCCAAAGGATGCCCCCAGAAGAGGAATCAGCCTTTCCTGTCCCCCTTTACCCGATAACGCCAGCCGGCTCCTCTCGAGCTCAGCCTGTGGCAGCGGCAGCAATGCCCCTCTCCCCCGGCACCCCGCACCTTTACCTCCAGGCCCCTCCATGCCGCCGGAGCCGCACGGCCGGGCGGGAGAGGCTCTCCGGAGCTGGGCGATGCCAGCCTGTGTCTCCTCCCGCCCCGGCCGGGCTCCGCCGCCCGCTCGCCCCGCCCCCGCCAGGAAGCGCTCCCCGGATGCCGCCGCCCCCCGCCCGCGGGGCCGAGCCCCGGACCCAGCGAGGGCAGGGTGCCCGGCCGGGCCGGCTGTGAGGGGAACGGGGCTGTCCGAAGACAGGCGCATCCCTAGGGCTGCCCCGGTCCCGCGATCCAGGCCAGCAAGCTCACCCGTGCTAGAAGCCCCCACGGAGCCAGACGCTTTGTTGTAAAGCCTGGCATGCCCACAGCCCTCCTAACACCCCAGCACAATAGGGCTGCCGTCAGCACAGGGGCTCCGTGCCAGCTTTCCGCGTTGGCATGTCCGAATCAGCGCCCCTCCGCGCTGCCGGCCTCTGCCTCGGACAATAACAGCTGCTGCCACAGACAGCCCTGGTGCCACAAACATCCGCCCGGCCCCGATAACCCCTGGCTGCTGCTAAGAACTGCCTGCCCCGTCCTAAGCGCTCCCACGGCTCGGTGCAGTGTGGCACAATACAGCAGCAACCTGTCCCAGCCTCCCCAGGTCACAAGCGTGTGGCAACACAGACAAACAAAGTCCATGCTGCTGAACCTTTCCTTCCCTTTGTGCGGTGCTGATAAGATGCATACTTGGACAACTCTTCTGGGAGTTTCGAAAGGAGAATGAGGCCCCAACAATAAGCAGGAGCCAAAAAGCTGTGCTGAGCATTCCCCCTGGATTCAGAATTGGAAAGGGCCAAGGCAGAAGAGTAATTAGCAAGGTCTGTCCTCATTCCTCCAAACTTTTAGGGGTCATCAGACTTGCCAGTCAGAAGGGATTGACCAACTCCCTTCCATTCTGCAGTTCAGAAGCTGTTAAAAACACCTCCAGCCTTTCTTTAGAGACTTTTGCCTCCTACTCCATTATTTCACTAGGGTGTAATGAACCACTTGGCAGTAGCTCTACCAGATTAGACAGGATTATGAGCAGAACACTACAGTGACAATGTCACTTCTCATCACGGGGTTAGTCAACACAGTCTGAGGACAGTGGCTGCTTCACAAAACAACCCACTGGCTTTGCAACCAGCAGCTGCCATGTCCCTGAACCCAAAGCAGCCCATTTCCCGGTACGCTGCGTCGCACTTAGGGCACTTGCTGCTCAGGGCTGTCTCCACCCAGCAGCTGCCCCTGCTCATCCTCACTGCTGGCTATCAGTCCACCCACACAGACCAACCCGGCTGAGAAAGCTTGGCCTTGCAGAGAGTCACCCCCTCCAGCCCTGGGGTGCTGCCAATGCCATCTAAGCCTTACCAGAAACACACAGCTCACACAGGTCCTGTGGCGCAGTGTGGGAGAGCTGTGGGAGAGGGAGTGTCACGCCAACAGAAGTAATCTCAAATCTTTCTCATCCTCACATTTACCCGGAGGGGAGAGATTTTTCTACCTGCTCTAACAGCATTTAGGATGACTCAAGTGGAGCTATGAAGAAAGATGCCCCCAAAGGCCAAAGTCAGGATACCTAAGTTGACTCATACACCTTTTCTTTCTGACAGCAGGAAGAAGTAGGAGAACCAAGGGACACCTCCTTAAGCAAGAGGGTCAATTCCCAGGACTCATGGTGGGTCTGCCACCTGTTATACGTCTAGACAGCTTTCACTTTGATGCCATGACACCACTCTCAACAGCTCTGCTCCTTTCCTGGGGTAGCAAAAGCAGGAGGAACCTGAAGAAGCAGACAGTCAAGTGACATTTTTCACTTCTGTTGGTAAGAGCAGTTTGGCTGCAGCCACGCTGGAAGCCCCTACAGCTGCACACATCACATCTGCACTTCTCCATCGGCCAACTTCCTCCCAACTGAGGGGAGTCAGAGGGGAGAAAAAAACCCCAAAACAAAAAGCCCCCACCAAAACAAAAAATCCCCACAAACAAACAAGAATATTAAGAACAGATTAAACGGATTCACGAGTTATGCTGCTTTTCATCCGGAGAGTTCTCCCAGCCTGCCCCGAAGTTACAAAGCTTCAAAGAGAGCAAAGTCTATCAGCTATGCAAGCTGCAAGGTAAAGCCTCGGAGCAACCGGGCTGGGGGAGGGGGTTATTCGGAGCTACTAACTTCTCTCACAGATGCTGGGCTTGCCTCCTCCCTATGCAAGGGAGGGAAGAAAAACCGGGAAGGAAAATTCCAAAAAGCTATGCAAACATATTTAAAACGTTAGAAAGTTCCACGACTTTGCAAACTCTTTCTCAGGCTACTCCCAGGGAGCCAGAAACTCATAAATTAGGCAAATTTCATGCACAAAGGGCCCCAGATTCCTCTCTCGAGCACATCTGGAAAAAGGCTCGCGAGGTGTCTCGGTCATCCAAGCTCACACAAAAGAGAGCTTGTCCCGAGCAGAGCCCGGCAGCAGCACCCCCTCCTTCCCCCCCGCTGCTGGGGCTGTGCGGGAGCGCCGAGTCCACCTCCATTCCACCGGCAGGGAAGAAAAGTCACCACACACACATACATACATACATACACACACACACGCACACATACACACGAACCTGATTTTTTTTGTGGAGGGCCAAGCACCACCGCCCCACCCCGAGCCAGCACCAGGAGCGAAGGGCTGTGTCCGAGGCGCAGAGCCGTGCGGGAGGGAGCAGCAGGAAACCCGCACCCTCCGCGCCACACCAGGGGAGAGGGCAAAGGCTTTGTGCCAAGCCGAGCGAAGGGACTCACCTCAGGGGGAGCGGGAAGTGCCGCCCCGGCAGTGGCAGTAGCTGCGGCTGTCGGGGCCGGGCTGCTCGGCTGCCCCGGCCCGCCCGCCGGGAGCAGCAGCAGCGAGAGGCGGAGGAGCTGCCAAGCCCCGGCGCTTCCTCCCAACTCGCGAAAAAAGCCTCGCCCAGGCAAAGTTGTTTGACCATAAAAGGCGCGAGGCCGCGGCACAGCTGAGCTCACTCGCTGGGGAATGTGGCAATGAGGTAACGGGGGCCGGGGCTTGCCGGGGCAGCGGCCCTGGGCCCTGCCGCCGGCGGGGAGAGGGCGAGCGCTGTGCCCGCCGGCAGCCGCCGGCCAGACCCGTCTGTCGGGGTTTGCCCCGGCGCCCACCCCGGCCCGGGCCCGCTGCCTGCCCCCCGCAAGGAGAGCCCCGCTCCTCCCGCCTCGCCTAACCTTGGAGCTGCCCCTGGGCCGCGATTTCACTTCCAGTCGCTGAGCTGGATTTTGGGAAGGAATGCGGCGGCTCTGGTGAGTCAGGGTCCCTGCTGGCCTCCTCCCCGCCCGAGCCAGCTGTGAGAGCATCTGACTCACGCTGCCCCGATCTGCCAGAAATTAAAGCAAACATCAGATGACTCCACCGTGCAGAAAAGCGACTTGTTCTCCTCGTACTGGCTGCAAGGCAAACACTATTAGCTGGTTTATATCAAACACTATGCACATGAATTGCTTTGTTGGATTGCCAGCGCGGCACATCGCTTTTATTTTTATCCCAGTGCTCGCTGGGGGCTCAACCCGCTGTAGAACAGGGACAGCCTGACCCAGCCCAACAGAACGTAACTTTCAACCCCAGCCTTTGCTGCTTCTCCCTGCTTCAGAGCCTCTCACGAAGGAGGAACACCAATAAAGATATTTCCTGTGCTTTGTGCAATCATTGCAATTGACTTTGGAATCTGGCCTTACTTTCGGGGTCAATACACCTACTGTTGCAAGTTCCCTGGAGAATTACTGTATTTGGTAATGCTCAGGGGACTTGGGGCTTGTCTGCTCCCAAGACTTATCTATCAACACAGGTACCTTTCAGTACTGCTAATTTACTTGCAGGTTGAGGGAGTAAGCCACAAACCACACCAGTGACACTCCCAGTCTGCACTGCTGCAGAACTCTCACATTAGAGAGCTATGGAAAGAGATTCGTCCAAGGTTTAAATCCAGAGTAAACAAATCTTTAATTTTACGCATAAAGTTTGTACAAAGAGGTCGTATCTTTTATTTAACCAGGTGATACAATTGGGAAGTCTCTCTGAGGCATTTTCAGTGTTACATACCATTTGAAAATGCCACCCATAGCAGCGCCCAGCACTGAGCATCTCACTCCTTACACAGCTGCAACCACTGAACCACTGATCTATAGCTCTGAATTTCCTAGAGAAATATAGGTCTTCTGTGGCTGCTAAATAATCCTGTTTACTGCTGCTTTTGTAGGCATGGCATCAGTTCTTTTATCTCCCATGATTAATGCACAAAGTAATTATGTAGGATAAAGAATGTATCTCTGTGATGGGTCTTCCAGCACTGTCACTTTTCTACTGCAGACAACCTTCCCTCTTGTTCAGGTAAAGATGTCAGTGCAGAGCTAAAAAGAATTCACTGCGTAATTGCGAACCAAATTCTGGAACATCACAGCACACCCTACACAATGAGCCTGACGTCAGAGAACTCTGCCACTGTTCCCTGGGCTAGCTCTGACTTCAGAGAAAACAAAGAATGTCTCAGA